GTGCGCGACGGTGTGGCTTCTGAATGAAAATGGTTTTACACAGTTGTTTATACTTTTAGCAGCTCTTTTTATCCCACAGCTGACCTGCTGAAAATGACAGATTTTCTTTTCTTAATCTCTGACAGCAGGACTTCAATCTCTGAACTCGTAAAGTTCTTCTTTTTAATTTTTGCTGTCATTTTTCATGAATGGACACTTCCTTGTATCTGAGGCAGGAAACACAGCCTTATATGGTGTTTTTGGGGTGGTAATTATGCTAATCTCCTCTCGCGTGCACGAGCAGCTGGATACGAACAGGTGGAATTTACGCAGCTCATTTACGCACTTTTCACGAAGATAGAAGAGTTTGTTGAATCTGACGTGACATGTTCGTACGAACCCTTCAAACGAACAAAAGTAAGAGAAATTTAGGATAAGAATATGAACATGTTCTTGCATGAGGCCCAAGTACAATGTCCTTAAAGGTAGTATCTCAGTGGATTGCAACTGCTGGTGAATAACATTTACCATACAAAATGTCTTGAAGTGTTTCCAGGGGTTCTCAATTTCTTTGTGTGAATCACAGACACTTAAATTTTGAACAAATAAAAAATACGGATGTACAATATATCGATATGAACATCTCTATCAGCCAATGGTGATCATGTTTTAGAATATCAGTGTCAGTCCATTAAGTAAAACTTGGCCAATATTAACGTCCAATATTTATTTTCTCGCTTGTTGCTGTTTGTGTTTCTGTTTTGGGAGGGGGAATGGTTGGTCAAGCAGCATCTATTTGATCATGATAGTGATGCTGCACAGCAAAGAGTAACTGAAGTACAAAGTCATGTCAGAAGTCTGGTCATTTTTGAGGATATCGAAAAAAGACATTTTTTTAGGTTGTTTGACAAATACAGCAGTAGTTAGAATCACTTTCTGATGTACGTTCTGATGATATGTCTGAACTCCTGAGACCCTGCATCCTTATCTTGAGGACATTGGTTTCAGACCAGTTGTTCTTATTCAGGTAACTAGATTTTAGGTTTTACTTTTAATTTGAAATAAAATATATATTTCTATTTTAACTCCTAATTGTTCAAAAACAGTGTTTAGTTTTATGTTYATGAGGTTCTACGCATCCTGGGAAATTAAAAATGCGCCCACCCATTAATGCCCCCACTGCCCTGAGTGGTGTCCACTGATTCTGTAGTCAGACAAATCAAAATTTGAAATTATTTTTAGAAGCCACAGATGCTACATTCTTCATATTWAAGAAAAGAGGGACMAWACAACCTGCTWATCAGCACACATTTCAAAAGCTTGCCTCTCTGATGGTATGGAGGTGCAWTAGTGCCTCTGGCATACAAGTCTGGAAAGACAGTATCAATGCAGAGAAGTAAATACAAGTTTTAGAACAACTTTTTGCTCTCATCCAACAAAAARGACCCAGGACTGTTGWATAGCTACAGYCCTACACTACAAAACCTCCAACWACTGGTCTCCTCAGTTCCTAGATGTTTAACAGGCTGTTGTTAAAGGGGCAATATCATGTAAAATCAACTTTTTTGAGCTTTATTATATTGTTATAACACTATCCTCTCATCATAAAACATACCCAGAGTCTTGCTTTGACTCATTCATGCATGTTTGAGAAATCCTGTAGTGTCCTGAGGCAGCCAGGCAGGAGAGCAAAACAACTGGTTGGGACTAAAACCGCCTTTTGAGATCAGCTCCTCCACTGGGCTGTGTCTCCAAACCGAGCTTCCTCATCGCAGAGCACACCTCCCCCACCCCCCGGCCCGCCTCGCGCCTCCTGCAGGCTATAGGCAAACACCCGATGAAAACTGCTGAGCYCCTAATACTACTTGTCTTGTCCTTTTTAGATTAAAAATACCTTTGAGGAAATGGATTTTCAGATGCCAAGGAAACCACATCGAGCTTCCACAAAAGTGTGCATGAAAAAAATCACAAAAAAAACTGCAACACAATTTTTTTACTTACTATGTTCCATTGTGAAAAATATGGATTTATAAGATTTGCAAATCATTGCATTCTGTTTTTGTTTACATTGTAAAACACGTACAAATTTTATTCTATGAAAGAGATGGTATTTTTTTTAAATTGTCAAATTTCATATAGTTCTTAAACTTTTTTTTATAAATCTGTTGAGATGTTAATTCACTATAAGTTAAGACCCTTTATGTGACAGAATGTGGTTACACTATAAAACAAGGAATAAAAATATCAATAAACAGATAAATAAACAGCTTTGGAAATAACAAAATTTCATAGGGCACAACAAGTTGCAGCCCAGTGAGATACTACCCTTACACAGCTCATTTTCATAAGTTGTTAAATTAAGTTGTTTTAACATGATCCCACTTTATAACGTGGAGAAACGTCAACCCTCAAAGCCATGAGATGGAAGCGCATAACCCACTGTTAGTTCTTTATGACAAACGTTCATTTAATCTAAAAGAAATTCATCAGTGCAACTTGAATAGTCCTGCAATGGACTCAAACTGATCTACATTTATGAGTGTAGTGTGTTTTATGAAGCATGGCAGCAGTTGTCACATCGTGACTTTGATTCCTACAGATAGTTAGTGTCACAACAGAGTTCATGGTGAAGGCCCCGGTGAAGTGTTCATCAGTGTGCAAATGTGACTTTCTCCAGCTGCGCTCCCTCAGAAGCCTTGTATATGGCAATAGGCCTCCAGGCTGGAAAACAGAACGTAGAGAAACCAGAGTCCGAATAAGAGCAAAGAAGTCAGGACTTTGGGAACCTGTGGCCCTCCTAGTTCACCACCTACAGATGGCCTTCGGCGTAGCATCAATATTCCCATACTGAAGAGGCCAAAAATTGTGAAAAGTGTGACAGAGAAGGCCAAAGATCCAGGATCAACATGGAAGGCCTTTCCTTTGACCTCCCAGTATGCAGCAGCCACGGTCCAGGCCACACCGATGCCCAGAAACACATTAACTGCATTGCTTCCAGTCACGTTTCCCACAGATGCATCAGCATACTGATCCTGGGTGGCAGCCACTTTACTGGCAAAAGTGTCTAAAAAGTAAGAGATTGAGGTTATTTGTTAGTTTAGTTTAAATAATTTCCCAGACTTGAATAAAAAATTTCAAATTTTAATGTTTGAGTTACCAAAGCATACATACCAGGAAGTGAAGTCCCCAGCGCAACAAAGACCACTGCAGTGACACTGTCTCTCAGGCCAACGGTGCAGCCAAAATGGGAAGCAAGGTCGCCAATAACGGCTGTCAAAATGCCAATGGCAGAGATTGACACAATAAAGCATGCCCAGCCATTCCAGTATTCAGTGGGCGGGACACAAGCAAACAGAATCTTCCAGAAAATGCACAGTATGTGCATGAAATAGTCAAAACAGTTGGGTGTTTGATGTGCTTCTCCCTCCTCATTTTCATCACCTGTTTAAGAAAAACACAACATTGAATCCAACATCAACTGGGACAAGAATTTAATATATAATGGAAACAGGAAGACAAGAATACGTTAGCAGTTCAAATATCATGGTGATGTTTTGTAGAATGGCTGACTTGATAACTTTAAGTCAGTATCTCTCTAGACTTCAACTGTTAGAGACAGTTGTTATTTGTAACAAGTAGAAAGGGTGCCGTATTTTAATTAGCATTTATTCTCAAGGCTCYAGGTAATGGACATCGATTACCATAACAGATTTGCAGTGGCTGTGGCTGAGTGGTTAGTGGAGTCATTCCTCTAATGCAAGAGTTGGCGATGGATTCCACCCCTATCTGGTCACATGTTGAAGTACTGAACTCCCACTGTCTCTGATGTATCCCATCAGTGTGTGAATGTGATTTAATGCACTGATTAGTCTCCATAGTTTGACTTATCAGGATTAGCTTTGTAGAGATCTAGTAGAGTGCTGTATGAATGGGTAAATAAGATAAGATAAGATAAGATAAGATAAGATAAGATAAGATAAGATAAGATAAGATAAGATAAGATAAGATAAGATAAGATAAAACTTTATTGTCTTTATAAAACTTTATAAAAATGGAAATTTTGTTTTAAATGAGGGCACAGATTGTAGTGTAAAGCACTTAAGAGTATCCTGGCTGGATAGAAAAGCACTATATA